TTGGCTGTGGAGTTCATATCATTGACCGGTTTTAGGAATGACTGTTTTAGGTTATTGCGAATTGTCAATAAGTTCCCGCACATTTAGTTTCCTTCTCGACAATACGGAGTGTCGTTTGTAACAAATTGGTTGTTTTATTTCATCTTTAAATATTTTATCATTCCGGATATTTTATTGACCTTAACGTTTTGTGTTAGTGTGATTGTTTTGTAACGTTATGGTCGAGGTTAATATTGTTTACAATTGTAAAAGTTTTTTTTTCCATAAATTTCATCCATCGAGTGTTATGTCGATAATTGTAACAGGCCAAACACTTTATTTTATACACCAATGTCATATCTCTATATGTAGAGGTTCAAAGAGGCGTGTTGTGTAAGTTTTTTATTTTTATTTTTTTTGGTTAGATTGTTAACTCTGATGAAGTGTTTTTTGTTCTCTATATGACTTAGTGTCCTGATGAAGCCTGTATCCATGGGCGAAAGCTAGATATTACAATAAATTGTTGCCACTTTGCTTTGAGCTTCAACATCTTTTATTGCTCCCGTTACGGCGATCCATCAAAGTTGGGGTGATCCCAAGAATTAACAGTTTGTTTGTATATATATATATATATATATATATATATATATATATATATATATATATATATATATATATATATATATATTTCTGTTACTGTTTTTAAAGTTATCTGCGGACGACAATAAATCTCGGGTCTGGTAGGTATTGAAGGACATTAAGGACGGACTCTCAAAAGTTTTGGTAAGAATATATATATTTTTTGTTTATTTAGGTAGGTATAATCTTATTAAATTACACTAAGAAAAAACAATGACATTAAATACGTATAATAAATTCATAGCTATTAATAATTATGTTTTCTTTCTAACTATCAGAGTAGTCATTCAAATGAATTATTATAGGATTTATGCTGTTTCGTATAGAGATGCTAGAGTCCTCAATTTTTATAATGCGCTGTTCTGAAATTTTCCATCTCTCATTTGGTACGTTATTAACTACATTTGTTCTCAACACTGGGACTTAAAGTAGAAATAACATTTTCAGCCAAATTTAGGACTTCCAAAACTTGCGTTGAATTCAAAATAAATATTATTTTCTCAGCTTGCGTTATCCACGGCAATAACAGTGTTATTTGGAATAATAATTAAAAGGTTGTTTTGAAACCAATTTTCAAAAAGTTCGGCACTTGTATGTTCATAATAACCCAAGCTGGAATCCTTAATGTTCTTTGCAGACAACAGCAAGCAGTTTGGGAAAAAAAATCCGTCTTCTGACCCAGCGTGTATTATGGTGATGCGTTTTTCTTTATTTGAAGGTGCTTTCGTCCTATTTTGAGTGAAATCAACCCATCTTTTGGATACAGTGTCGGGTGTATCGAAACCATGGTTTCATCTTCTTCTAGCTTCTTTTTCAGTCTAGCCAAGGTAGGAACAATTTCGCTTTGATAGAGACAATACATTTTCCTTCTTATTAGATCCTGAACACTATTGTGTGGTGTACGGTGAGAAAATCACTACGTTTATTCCTATATTGGCGTTTTTAGTAGACAGGTTTCTTTTAAAACTTCTTGTTGAATAAATCCTCTACTGATTTAAAGTTTCATACATATTTTTCACAACCCATTTTGCATCAAGCGATATTTTTATATTCTCGTAAAATAACTTTTTCGAAATGTACAAACGCTACAAATGACCAGCACTCAAGAAATATACCTGGCTCACCCCTGCCTTGTCACTCAAGTAACAATTATTTTTTTTGCAATGGCTTGTAAGGATAATTTTTTTGTAATGGATTTACACAACAACAATCGTTAAAGGGGGGGCCGTCGAAAGCTAACACGATGAAGATGGGGGCAGACTATAATTAGAAAAACCAATAGACAACTGTTACTGTCCAAATTTTAAGTCCCAATTATGCCATTGTAACCTCACTTTTCAGTTGTTTATTTATTTGTTCTTGAAATAAGTGTAGATAGTTTAGGATTAAGTAAAACTTTGCAAACAGAACAAGTTGGGAAAACAGTACAAGCACCAGTAAGAGCATGGGAGTTCGAACTTTATGGTAGTTGTAGACTGGGGGCTTCAAGACTTATAAGGGCTTTACGAAGAAAGCTAAAAAACTTCAGGAAGTGTCGTAATAAGGTTTTTAAGTACACCAATGGTTAATTTTTTAAAGAAACTTCTGCAGGATACTGTAATACAAAATTTCTGGATTCCTCTTGCGTCGGTTTTTGCTGAGTCGAAATTGCTAACGTTTACTAACATCCTGTTAGCTTCTTCAAAGCTTGACTGAAACTAGCTCTAAAGAAGCTAACAGGAGAAATTCAGAAGTTTTGTAAAAAGTACGCCAAAGGTTTTCGAGGAATAATTATAATACTTGTTACACCGATTAGTTTTCGTATAAATTTATAAAAATTGTTATAAGGGCTAAGATCTCTTATAAACCCATTATAAATATACGTCGACTTGTAATAGGTTGCGGTGTTTCCTAGCAAAGCTCCAAATATCTCTTGCTGTTCGTTTAGAGTAGAGCAACGTTTCTGTTCCACGAGGATCCCACTCGGGACCCGTGTTAACAGCGAGTTGGACCGTAAAATATTCTGCTAATATTCCCGGCACCCTGCTGCGTGGCATCGCTTCTAATCTCCCTGATGTTGCGAAACTCGTGTGTACCATTTTGTTGCCGGCGGGAATTTGCTGTTTGAAGAACGAGCCTTTGAAAGTAAATTTCCCGATAACGGTTTACGATATTTTAATGCGGTTTTAATAGGTTTCCCGAACGAGGTTGCTGCCGTGGGCGATGAAATTCGTCGGAAATGTGTGGGTTCAAGCCCGGAAAATTCTTGGTAAAATCTCCAACTCCCCCCGCGGAGGAAATCAGTACCAAGTTCTGCCACGTCAAAGGGCAATAGCCGCCCATATTTATGAAAGAGGGATAAAATCGAGTTAGGGAAGCAGTTGCCAGGGAAATTTCATATTTGGATCATTATTAACATCTGGGTGTTATTTTAATTTTTCTATTTACTAAAAATTGGACTATTTTTGCCCTTAACACATCAGTAGCCTGATAATAATGCATAGTCAATTCAATGCAATTCAACTCATTTTATTGTTTAAGAAAAATATGTTTATAGGAAATTCTGTTGGCACAACTATTGGAGCTATGTTAGTACCTATCAAAATAAGCAAAATAAACAGAGCTACTACTTTAAAAAGAGAAAGAAAGCTGCTAACTGTTTCCCTGAAGCTTGCCTAATCTAACAGAATGGCCAAGTTGTCCGGGGTTGTCCCAGTCATCCTGATTTATCAGATATGAGATATTGGGTTGTTCGGAAAGTCATTTCCGAACAACCCAGTCAATTTTTTTTCTCGCTTGGACAGCATTTTTATCTTTTCTGAAGTAAAAAAGTAAAATATGACGAAAATGCTGCTTATTGCTCTCCATATTTAAAAGGGCACCAACCAAAAACTACTGCGTAGAATTAATAGAACTTTTTCACACACAAGCCTTGCAATATCAGCTCTCAAGACATATAATGGTTATGCGGCTTAAGTGTGAAGTTGGTTTCGAAAAAACGTAATTAAGTCCTCTGACGAGAAAAAACGAAATGACTTTCCGAACAACCTTATATTTGGATTTTCAGATATTAGTTTCTTGAAGTCTAAGGGTTTTAGAATTGTTGAATTTAAAGTGCAATAAAGTACGCTTAAGACAAAAAAGACTTTGGTCTCATGTGTGATAAGAGCTCCGTGGTACTTCGCGGAAGATACGGTAATAATTTATAGAAACTTGCCTGAATCTTCACTGTCTGGGGCATGCGAAAAAAAGATAAAAAAGAGCTAAACAGAGATAAACCAAAGTGTTAAAATTTTACCAAAATTGAACTGATACATAAATCATTTCATATATTTATAATTCATAACCAGTTATTAAAAATCAACAAAATATGTAGGTGAATAGTAACCAATATCAAAGGTGTCTTTGCACCATGACCTTCACCGTTTTGCAAATCTGAAAAAAATTTCCACCTTCTTCTTTTGGCCATTTTTTTATTAAATCTGGACGACCAATAGATACATTCTTTTCTGGCCACCCTGTACATTTTTCGACCACCTAAGGGGTTACCGTTATCTCTTTTACTTTTACTCACGCCGATCTTTGATGTTAAATGAATTTGGTGCAAGTATTCAGTGTCTCACGGGCGGCTCACGTTTGATATTTTAAAAGGGACAAATTGTGTAATACCTATGTTTAGCGGTTTTCGAAAAATTAATTATTTTCTCTATTTTCAGTTCAAAACAATTGCAGAAATTTTGTACTCTGTAATACACAGGGGCGCATAAAATGTGCTATTATACTAATGGAAACAAAAAAAATCAAAATCAAATTTTTTGAAATGGAATATGCCCTATATTTTATCAGCTATTGCGAAATAATAATTAAAAACAAAGTCAAATAATATATCATATATAAAGCAAGTTTAAAAATTGTCATATTAATATTGTAGAAGCTTCCGGAAAGCCATAATGCGTGAAAGGCAGAACTACTCAAAAAAAATTTTGATGAATTTGTTTGCTTTTCACGAACAGTGCGGTCAAATAATAACAAAAACATGTTGCAAGTTTAATAGTATGCATTCTAATTTACAACCAACAAACGAGATATTTTGAAGTTTACTTGTTATGTTAAGTAAGAAATACGATAGAACAGCATTTATTAAATAGTAATAATAATTCATAATAATTTTTTTAGGTATAGCATAATAAAATATAGGTATTCAATTAAAAAAAAAAATTAATTATTTGGTTGGTGATTTTCCTTGAAAAGCCGCCAATTTCTCTCAAAAACGGCGCCTGCCCGACCTTGATCCGTTAACTGGACCAGTTAATGTTTGTTTATCTCCATTTTCATGTCAAGTTGTTTAAGTTGCAGTGAGTAATTGTTGGGTTTTACGTATCTGTTGATCGTAAAATCTTAGAGGGGTGCGCTGTTGATTTTCGAGATACGAGTGTAACTTCCGATGTTCGCTATGACGGCGACGCCCACGAGATAAAAGTGAAGGTGTCCGAATCCCGAAATGGTAGTTACTCCGTGACTTCCACCCAGAAGAGGTTTAATTTTTTGGGAAGGAAATGGGGAATATCAACCACCAGGCAGTGTTGGTGTTCTTGGCCGCATCCATAGCAACGCAGGGTGAGCGAAGAGTATTTTTTGCTTTGAAAATATTTCTGCCAACATTCATGTTCACTACAAATTAGATGTAATTATTTTGTTTTATTGTATTATTTTATTTGCAGCAATTATTTTGTTGTTTATTATTTTTAGTAGTTCAGTTTGAAAAAACCCAAAACAAGTTCATATAATCTAGTGATAGTAAAGCCAAAGACATTTTTTCATAAACATAACCCAGACAAGTTTCAAAATATTAAAAATATTGGTAAGTTGAGAGAAGAACAAATGTTTCCATTGGGGAGGAAAAATGCTCTAAGAATTAATACGAAAAGAGTAGAATGGGATATTATTTTTGTTAAAGTTTGTGTGCTTGTGTGATCAATAACTTATAAGCTTTTAGATTGCTGATACAAATGCGTACACGAACGGTCATTTATATATGTGTAGCTAATACTAAATAAATCAAAAATTAGCAAAAAAATATTAGAGTTTACCTTTGTTTTCTGCTTGAAACCGTATCACTATAAAAATTTTTTACTTGTTAAACAACTTATTATTAATAAACAAATTCCTATCTGGCATTACATTGTTTTTTAATGTTTCTATATATTCCTTAATTGCAATTTTTTTTACTATGATCTAATTTTGCTATCTACTAAACTTATATTATTTCAGTAGTGGATTTGGGTACACTCTAGTATTGCTTCTATTAAAAATCAGAACATATTTTCTCAAAAATTACCACTTAAATTGCAACTAATTTATTATAAGTACCACTGATATTACCATTGCAATGAATTTGCTTGTATTAAATAAATAAGGACAAGTAAGTGAATATTCTATTTATTAACGCACATTTCGAGGACAATAACAAAAATAACACCATCAAGAGAGAAAATAATATGAAAGTTGAAACACATTAAAAAAAAGTGCAATCGAAACAAAACTCAAATCACAAATATAACAGTCAAATATAACACAAATATAACAGTCAAAAAGTCTGCCAAAATGTAACTTATTAAACTAAATTATATAAATAATTAATAATTATAAATAGAAGTTAATTTATTTTTACATAAATAAGTCCCAAAATTTTTGTTTAATTTTTATTTTCCTTGTAGGCTTTTCGAATATATATATTATCCCTCAATCTCACTAGTACAGAAAATTTTTCTATTTCTACAAAACCTAAGTTCCATATAATTCTCTACTTATATCTTTAGAGTCAGACCTGTTTGGTACTACTGATTACCACATTAAATCCCCTAATTACCTAAAGAATTACTAATAACACTAGTGACACAGCAATTATTTAATATGTTAGTATATTATACTATACTAATATAATGATACTAATACTAATTACACGTAATTACCACTCATTTCTTACTAATTTCTACAAATGCAAGCTTATATATTTCTTCTTTTTTACATTTGGCTCCCCATAAATTAATTGCTATTTATTTCTCAAAAAATATATTTAAAAAACGAAGAATATCCTGACCAGGATATCATTACTCATTTACAAATAAAAATAAAACAATAAAAACTTGCGCGTTTGCGCATTTTCAGCCGATTCGACAGTGTCCAGATGTTATCTCTGCAACAACAACTATTGTGCCGACCCCTACGAAGCGACACTCGGTACGGTCTCCCATTGTATCAGGGACTTTCAACTCGGAAGACTGTCTTCCGCTTCAGAACTTGACTACGGCGTAGATTTCGAAGCTACTGCGCATCTAAACGGCAAGCCGGACGATGTCGAGTTGTTAGAGGACGACGCGACCGCCATCAGGCGGAAACTATCCGAACTGTTCAATTACGGCGATGCGTCGAACTCGACCCACGAGTCGTTCGTCGACATCAAAAGGAAAATCTGGGAGTTGTTTAACAAAACGGGAATCTATTCGAGCCGAAACGAAAAATTGCGTTTCCCGGGGGAAAATATATCGAATGTTTCGGACAGGGAAAGCGCGTTAATGGAAACGCACGAGGAAATCTTTGATCTCAAGAGGAAATTGTGGGACTTCTTTTACCGGCTCGGTATCGATGAACACACGCCGTTCGTGTGCGTGAAGACGATATACAGCTGTGAGTATTCGTGTCCAATGACGTATAGTGCGTTCACAGATCGATGTACGCTGCACGAATAATGCTTTTGTAACTCGGTTATCCGTTAAAGTATCGATGAGGTGAAAACTGAAATTGACACGGCTTTTTACGTTGGATCCAGTGGCGTAGTCAGTTTCTTCCGAAACTCACAAATTAAATTGCCCTCTTACTAATGGTAGTGTTCGCGATACAAAAGTAGTCAGAACACGGTAGTTTTACTACAATTAACGGAGGTACGCTGTAAAAAAAATCAAAAATGGGACTCACAGTACAAGGCGTCCCAACTGGGGTTTATTTTTGACGTTACGGGCTTGCCTAATGAGGGACCTTATAGCATAAGGTATTTCATTAAATAATTTAACTGCGTTATAGCTAAAAGATTTCTGGAAGGTTACCGAAGTGTGTCTAGGAACGCAACTTATAGAAGGATTTTTGTAACACCAAGTCAACATGCTTAGGAAACCGCAAGTCACCATCAAACCATAATCCAAAATATTTACACCCATCTGAAGAAGGAGAGATAATCTCATCATTTAGTGTAATCTTAAAAGAGGCGCTTTTTTGCAAATATCTTCAAATATCTTATTTAGGAACTTCAAAATACTTTTCTGCCTATTCTATTTACTTTATCCAGTGTCTGTCCTGTAGCTCTAAGTGTTACCATTATCGTCATACTTCCGCCTCGTAATGTTACTGGAACATCCTGTATATAGCAGTTCATTTTGCCCGATGTTGATAAATATTTAACATCGAATATAAATACAAAAATTCGTTGTTTTTTTCAATTTTATTTTGTAATACATTGCTTGCTATACCAGTTTAGATCTTTACGTTGTTTAGCAAGTAAGTAAATTCCAGATTTTTCGTTTCAGTTGAGAATGGGCTAAATAGGACTTACAGGGGTTGCGTACCGAACAATCATAAAGGGGTGGCTCCCTGTGACGCGATCGCAAGTGTCATCGGGGTGGAATCATCTCGAATCTACGGATGCGAAACCTGCACGAAAGACTTGTGCAACTCCGCCACCTCTTTGGGCCAGTCAGCATTGGCGTTAGCTGTCGGTGTGGTCTTGAGATGGTTGATGTAGAAATATTTCTATTCTATGATTCGAGTGGCTGCCATCACTAATCTTACTAATTTCTGGACGATGTTAATATTTTTTCTGGCATTTTTTTGGTTAGGTTTGGTTTATCGACGGTCTGGTGGATCCGCTTTGTGTTTAAAATACAATGCGATACATTGGAACGTAGATGAAACTGCGGATGTGGTACGATCGTTGACCCAAATATATTGTTGATTTATAAAATACAGAGTTTTGAATGTAATAATTGTTTTTTTTTTCGTTATTATTAAGCAGATGTCACGAGCATTTAATTATAAACTTGTGAGTTTTTTTCCTTGGACGATTCAAAAGATTGTTCGCCATTGCTTTACCGAACACGGTGGGTAATATCCAAATATTACATTTTCATTATGACAAAAAATTAGAACTCTAAAATTTAATTACAATAATCATGAAAGAAATAAAATAAAGTGATGAACAATGACCATCACTGTTGGTGTATATGTCCCATTGTGAATAATATGTTCCTTAAGATGGCACCACTTGGTAAGGACTAGATGTGAATTTTCTGTGTATGACTCGCGGGTATCCCCATGAGTTTTTTTATGTCGCAGTTATTTACTTCTGTAATAGATAGTTTTTGTCGTATTGGAGGCTTCTTATAATAAAAGAGAACTCCACTACAAGTCCTTTATTTAATCTGCGTCATGAGGTTCAGACATAAGCGCGCGAGATACCAGGCCGAGAGTTCTACATTCTAACCTCTCTGGACCATAGAATATGAACACCACAGACCACCGAACAACCCTGATGCAACATCTTTCCCCTTTTAAATGAAATAACATTACATTAGAAAGTCTTTTAGCCATGCCATGTTGGCGCAATGAATGTCTATTTGCTACCGACTGTTCTATGGGCGCACTTTGTTCTGTTTTACTTTCCGACACCGCACTAGCTTCATTTTCGGGCTGCGATGAAACACAAACTTCCGCATCACTTTTAGATTTTTCTGGGATTGGTACCTGGACCGGTTTTTTATTAAAGTTTTGAAACTGTACATATGGCGCCAAAACGAGGTGCCATCTACTTTTGTTTTCTCATCTGGTAATATCTCTTGAAGACTCACCTGATCTGTAAATTTTAAGATCTCTAGATCGACTATTCCTGATCTGCCTAAAATAGGAGTTTGCAATTTTTTTAAAACATATACTTGAAGTTGAGATTTTTTGTCTCGATATGTGATTTCCAACTTTAAGGTACCGATTACATGTAAAGATCGGCCATCTGGACCCGATATGACATCCTCAGGAGTTTTTAATTTTTTAAAAAGATTTACTGGCATGCAAGTCACATCGGCTCCCGAGTCTACCAAAAACTTAATTTTATTTGAAAACCCACTATTTTCTAGCCTACAAAACCACTGTGACATTGAGTCTGAATTTTGATTAGATCTTACCATTAATCCTTTAAATCCATCTTTGTTGTTGCTTTCTTCTTTCTCGATATTTTCTCTTGTTCAAGGCACAGACCTCTTTCCCCATGCCTTCGCCATTCCTTGGAATGTTACTTTGTCGTGAAAGCATTTCCGCCTGCTTGACCTTTAAAATTGCGTCTTCTGATTTTAAATCTGATTTTAGTTGCAATCTGTCGCTGAGATTGTGATCTAGAATACCGTCAACAATTCGATCTCTTATAAAATCGTTTTTCATGGTTGTAGAGCCAACAAACAAATTCAGTGTTCCGATAAAACATGCAAATCTGTAATGAAAGATTCCGCTGGTTCCCCGGGCTGCTGCCTTCTCCTGTTGAAACGAGCCCTTTCAAAAATTACATTCTTCTTGGGATAAAAGTAATGATCGAACCCAACCAGTGTTTCTTGAAATGTATTTTCTTGATTTGGGAACTGCAAAATAGTGCTTTCGCTTTCGGGTCCCATGATATAAATCAATATGTCGTTTTTATCCTTGTCTGGCTTGGTATTAAGCCCAGTTACCGCTAGATACCTTTCAAACCTTCTTTTCCATGTTGTCCAATCTCCCGGTTCCCGGAAATTGAATTTGTCTGGAGCTTGCACGTGCACACCTTGGTTTGACATTGTCGAAGTACCTGCACCGCGGTTGGCGCCACTCCTTTGTACAATGTTACCTCCTTGGCTACTGCTACCAGCTTGACCACCTCCTGCGCCTGTTTGATCACCAGCACCTGGTATTTGACCGCCTGTTGTGTGTGTGCCTGGTCGAAAAACGTTGGCGTTTTCCTGGTCCAGCATCTGCTTACGTCCCCTTCACAACTGTACAGACTTTTTTCACATTTACAGCTGCCACCATGTCATATTGGAGGATTTTTATAATAAAAGGGAACTCCACTACAAGTCCTTTATTTAATCTGCGTCATGAGGTTCAGGCGGGAGATACCAGGCCGAGAGTCCCACATTCTAACCTCTCTAGACCATAGAATATGAACAACACAGACCACCGAACGACCCTGATGCGTTTTCCTTCTATCAGAAACGTTGAATATTATTTCGATTAATACTCTAAATGTTACAAAAAAGAAAACGCAATTCTCAAACTTCTTTACGCCTTCGCAGCTATTGTGGCTGTAAGCATTTGTCTCGTTCGTGCTTGAATAATGTTTGTGTTATAATGGAAGTGATCGTGTTGTTTGGGGTGGTAAATTCTTTTCTTGATATGGCAGAAGGACGCCCCCCTCCAGATTCTAGCCAAAGGGATAATAAACGGAAGCTTATTCAACGGCGGAGCGTGATTAGATTCGAATATTTACATTAGGACGGATATTTTGGACCCCGGTTATAGTTGCTAATATAGGCAGAGATATTCCAATATTTGCGTTGTTGTACGCGGTATTTCATTAATATCGAATTATGCACGTATATTGATAATTCGTTGACGTCGCGAGCCACTTAACAGGAGTTGTATTTTGGTAGATATTAAAACATTTAACGAGCCCCTAACAAAATACCCACCGCAGGACCATTTTTCCATATCAATGCCAAAAACTTGAAACTGTGTTGACTAAGAATCACAAGAATCGTTTTTTTTTGTTTATTTCTTCTTCTTCTTTTTCTTCCAATGCACAAAAAACAAACTTACTGTGTAGAGCAGCGCACGGCAGCTGATTTCCGGAGAGCTATAGATCGTGGTATCATTTTTATTATTGTACACGCTTTGTGAGGGCACCATTTGGCCAGGTTTTTGACTAAGAAATTATTAGAGAGTTTTAGACTAATGTTCCAGTAAAACAACTATTTAAATATAAAAAAAAATGCATTGACTAGTATGGAACAAGAGTTTAACTTAAGATTTTGTATTGAATGTTAATGAATTAAAGAGAAAACGGTCGGAGTATTTAAACATAGTTTAAAAAAAGTGATTGTGTCTCATTTGTATGTTACTTCGTAAAGGTGAATTAAAAAAAAAAAACGAGTAAATGAATACGACTGAAACCTACCGTTATCGTACCGATTTACCCAACTAATGTTATTTGTTGTCAGTAAATTGTCAATTTTATTACTAATAAATAAATAAAATTGCTACAGCATATTCACAAATGGATGTTTGCTATAACGTTCTGAATTGCATCTGCTGTTCCTTGCGGTGTCTATTAACGACTGCAGATCGTGTAGATCTGTGTCCACTGCCCGATGTTTCGCAGCCAAAACATTTTCTTTCTTCCGACTCCTCTCTTGTCTTCGAACTTTCCGTCGATCAGCAGATGTGGAAACTGATATTTCTGGTTCTCATGATATGCCCCATCATTTTCCTTTTCTTGGTTTAAACAATTCACGTTGTTTATTGACACGTCTTAGAATTTGTGCATTTTTGAACTGAGTCTTTTGTTGCATAATGGTTTTGTTCGGTGGTCTGTGGTTAGTCTTGAGAGGTTAGAATGTCGAGCTCTCAGTCACGTATCTCGCGCGCTTATGTTTTGTAGTGGAGTTCTCTTTTATTAGAAAAAGGTTCCAATACGACGTCTTTCACCAAAGCTCATCAATCTGACGTGCAGGAAAGAGTAGGATCAATAACAAATTCCAAGAGTGTGATATCTTTCTGCGGGATAGCGCCATTTTCATAGTTTTTTTATTGTTTAAAACTAAGTTGTTAAGGAAAACCGTTTCTGAAGAGCACTCGCGGTCACTTCAACTTTATCCAGTAGCAGTTGCGGCTGCGAATAATTTCACATTAATCTATTAACAAAAGTCAGATGGTTAAAAAGTCATTAACCACAAAATATTGGGACAAATGTGCTATGAATGTCTTCTCAGTTGTTTTAATAATAATTAATGAAATAATTAATTTGAATATAATTGCAACTAAATAATAACATAAACACTACTGAATGTAGAAAACTACACACTTTTTATGTTTTAACCCTCTGTATATGTTAGCGGAAAATCGGGTCCGATTCAAAACCCATAGCAACACGCTAATGTAAATCGAATTATTTTCCGATGGCAAACGGATTGGGCACGTTAACCTTGAGGGAAACACATTACCGCAATTTCGACCCTTTCGATCAATTATTGACGACGCCATGTTAACTATCCTAGAGTCCATTTGATCGTATAAACAGAACGCAACGTGCATTATTAATGGGAAACGAGGGGCCGCTCGGGTCGCTGACAGCCCTAATTCTCAAAAACGTTTCTTTTTTTAAGGACCCGGATCGAATTTAAATTGTTGCAGCGGGAATGCTTCAATGTTGACCTCGCAGGGGTTGGAGTTGCAGGTTGCGGTAACGAAGACGAAGACTCGTGCCACTCAAAAAGCACAATCTCGCTTTGAAATGAGATATTTATTATTCATAAATGTAAATACCCGCGGTTACTTTGGTACAGGGTGACGCCAGGGGCGGCGCATCCGCATCCCTATATGAAGCGGCTCTCAGATCTAGCGGCGGGTGGTGTTTGGATACGCCATTTGCAATATTTCATAGGCCGTGCGTATAAATCATGCAGAATAGGAGGTCCAGTAGAGAGCCTCGTGGCACTCCCTTAACGGGAGCAACATTTCAAAAGTGACAATGGATTGTGTGAGTAGTGAGGCATTTAAAATAAGACACGAATTCACTAAGCGAAAAGCGTTTTTACTTTGGAACATATTTAATCATTAATGAATATTTTTGTATTATTGCCTTCTAAATGTGTTGCTCTTTGATTTATTTGTTTCGCTTGTTCCAAAGAAAAAAAGTTGAT